AAGAGAACATCCTTTTCATCCATACTTTCATTATCATCCAATAGAATACAGATTAATTTAAATAATACGCCTGCATCAACTTCATTAAGATCCAGCTTAAGTGCACCTTATCCAACTTCTATATTAATGAGTTCGCAAGAAGACTATCCGCTTAAATCTACAAAATCTTCGAATGCAAAACGTCTTACTTTCTCTTCATTCACAACTGATAATAATTATATAATTGAACCTGTTAGACTTAGGAGTTCAACACTGTATGTTACGTTAAGATATAGTGACTTGATCAAATCACAAGAACAAGATGAAAAAGAAGAATCATTAGCGGAAGTGACTCTGAATCCTGATAAACGTCGAGATTGGATGGAAAAGCATAATAATGATAATAGTGTGAATTATAATGATAATAGTGTGAATTATCATGATAATAGTGTGAATTATAATGATAATAGTGTGAATTATAATGATAATAGTGTGAATTATCATGATAATAGTGTGAATTATAATGATAATAGTGTGAATTATAATGATAATAGTGTGAATTATAATGATAATAGGGTGAATTATAATGATAATAGGGTGAATTATAATGAGACAAAAGTAACAATACCTCCACAAAATGTCGACGATGTATCAAATAATGAAGAAAATGAAGAAGATAATACCTCAAAAGTACAATCAAATTATAATCAATCCAATTATAATCAGTTAAATTATATACAATCCAGTTATAATCATCATTCCAGTTATAATAATCACTCCAGTTATAATCATCATTCTAGTTATAATCATCATTCCAGTTATACTCAATTCGATCAGTACGATTATAGTCAGTACGATTAATATTATCTCCTAGAATAATGTAAAAAAAAAAGTCAAACCAATAGGTCTAGTCTAATTTATTTATTTATTTTTATTTTATTTTATTTACTTAATACGTATTCCATGCATAAATATCACGTGTGAAGGTACATATGGAATATGTTTAATGTATTTATTCGCAAGATTTCTTAAAAAAATGTTAATTAATAATTATAAATTTTTATCTAAACATTTTAAAACTTTTTCTTCCATTTTTCTAATACTTTGAATATTGCTGATCGTTGAAGTCATTAAATAAATGACATTTCCTAAAGGTCTTGCTAAAATTGAAATATCGTCAGAATCATTTGAAAGTTGATTTATAATCGTTGACGATACTTCCGAAGAGTAACCTATGTTAAAGTATATATATTAGTACATATTAATGAAGTTAGATAACGTAGAATTCGAATCCTAATGTCAATCAAATCAAATCATACCACTACTATGAACATCCTTTAATTCGATTGCTAATAGTGTTCCCAATGCAAATACACCTTCAACATTTTCTAAGCATGATATTTTTCCCACAATCTAAAGTATTTATTTTTTTTGTGAGTTAATGACAGGCATTCACTTGTGAGAAGAAAATAATTAACATTGGCAAATTTGTCCAGAATTAAATAACTTTTAAATTTAAATATAAATTTGACTATAGTTATAAATGATAAGGGCTTGCCAATATGAATAAATTTACAAACCTCTTTACTCCACAAACTCCAAATTTGATTTTCCTCATTAACATTCCAATTTTCTCTTCCAATTTTCCAATCAATACTAGTTTTACTCAAATTTTCATATTCTTCAATGGAAGTGCTAGCCACTATACATCCAATTGGATGTGCAGTATAAGAGTGACCATGAAGTAATGAATTGAGTTTACTCTTACCAAGAAAGGTTGAAAATATTGAAGAAGTTGTTAAAGTTGCAGACATTG